ATTCCTGCCACTGAGTGGCAGCAGGAAACAGGAGCTAGCAAAACTGTGTCTTATATTGTTTTTGTTTGCATTTTTTTTAAAAAAATTAATCCTAGTTCTATTTGTTTATTGGGTGTTTTATGCTGTATGATTGCATCTCAGTGAGAAAGACAGGCTGAAAATAAAATAAATAATAAAATAAATATAGAGATCTAAACAGAGTCAATATAAGGATTATATCAAATGCCTCAGACACCTTCAAGACTTCCATCTGATTGGGGCCCTTACCTGAATTTGGCCAGATAAGTTCATGGAGAAGACAGACCTCATCTTGCCAATAATTGAGAATGTACCTAAATTGTTCCCTGTGGGGTTTTTTGTGTGGAGACTGCACAATTCCCTAGAGCTCTAAGAAATAGTCTTCCAAGGCCATTTCACACCATTATCAGGACGAACAAAAAATGAATGTATTGCAAGGGGATAATGAAAAAATAGAAGTGTCCAATTTGCCCTATTTGGGCAAATTGATTGAGAGGGCAGAGGCGACACAGCTTCAGAGCTTTCTGGATGATGCTTCTGTCCTTGATCCATTTCAGTCTGGCTTTCGCTCGGGTCATGGGACAGAGATGGTGCTGGTTGCCCTTACTGACGACCTCCGGAGGCATCTGGATCGAGGTGGTGTGGCAGCACTGTTGTTGTTAGATCTGTCGGCCGCGTTCGATATGGTTGACCACTAGTTGCTGACCCACCGCCTCGCCAACGTGGGGATACAGGGGCTCGCTCTTCAATGGCTTGCCTCCCTTCTCCAAGGTCAGGGACAGAGGGTGGCGATAGGGGAGGAGCAGTACTGGAGGCACCCACTAGAGTGTGGGATGCCTCAGGGGGCAGTGCTTTCCCCAATGTTGTTCAACATCTATATGCACCCCCTCGCCCAGATTGTCAGGAGGTATGGGCGGGGTTGCCATCAATATGCAGATGACACCCAGCTCTATCTGATGTTGGGTGGCCAGTCGGGCTCTGACCCAGAAGATCTGACCCAGGCATTACAGGCAGTGGCTGAGTGGCTCAGGCTGAGCTGGCTGAAATTAAACCCAGTGAAGACGGAGGTCTTGTGCCTGAGCCGGAATGGATCGGGGTTAGGGATCCCTCTCCTGACCTTCGATGGGGCGCCATTGGTGTCAACGTCAGCGGTTAGGAGCTTGGGAGTGCGCCTGGATTCCTCCCTGACTATGGAGGCTCAGGTGGCAGCCACTGCCAGATCAGCATTTTATCATCTTAGGCTGGTTTGGCAGCCTTTCTCGACCGCGACGACCTGGCTACAGTGATCCATGCGACGGTCACCTCAAGGCTAGACTACTGTAACGCTCTCTACATGGGGCTGCCTTTGGTGCAGATTCGGAGACTGCAGCTGGTGCAGAATGCGACGGCCAGGCTTATTTTGGGTCTCCCCAAGTGGGAGCACATCTGGCCTGGGCTGGAAGCGCTGCACTGGCTGCCAATAGCATACTGAATCAGTTCCAAAGTGCTGGTGTTTGCCTTTAAAGCCCTACATGGCCAGGGTTCGACCTACCTGAGGGACCGCCTTTCCCCATATATACCCCCAAGAGCACTTTGGTCGGGGACACAACATCGCCTGGTGACTCCAGGCCCCCGGGAGGCAAGGCTCACTGTGACCAGGGTCAGATCCTTTTCGGTGGCGGCCCCTACCTGGTGGAACAAGCTCCCGGAGGAGATCAGGGCCCTGTGGGACCTTATGTAGTTCCACAGGGCCTGCAAGACGGAGCTCTTCCGCCAGGCTTTTGCATAGGGGCCGCCACTGCCACCACCTCCAACGCTGTGGATAACAACGGGGCTAGGGATGGCCCCAGGAAGACCACTTATAGCACCACATGGCACTGGTACCACCGGACTTACTTGGGACCAACGACAGGATAAGATCACCCCCAAAGAGCTGACTGTTACCATCAAGAGATTTATTCGGGGACCATCTTGTCTTCATGGAGCACTTTATTTTTATCTGTGTTATTTAAGGTTTTATTGCTTTTACTATGTTTTATGTGGGCTCCGCCCCTTGTAAGCTGCCCTGAGCCCGCTTGCAGGGAGGGTGGGGTAAAAATGTCATAAATAAATAAATAAATAAAATAAAGTGCTTCTTGACAATAAAAGGAAATGTAAACAAATTTATAAGGACTGTTTTGGCTCAGTTCTACTCCAGGTAAATTTCTACCAACGCTGGCTGGGCATTGGTTTGCCATGAAACTCACCAAGGTTATAATGAAGTCTCAGGCAGGGCTAGTCCTAGGAATGTGTGTTGCTTGGGTAGGGGCCTGTACAGTACCTACCATTTTCTCTAATTCTCTGAAACTGACATTATTTTCTCTAACTCATAAGTGCTAAGGGAGCACATCCTGCAATTCTTAGCTGCACACTCCCAAGCACCAGCAACAAGACAACCAGAGTGCTGGCATTCAGCAGCTGGCAGGTCAATATCTCTGTAGAGTTCGCTCCTGAAATCAGAGCACTGTTGCAGGAAATACTAAGAAGCAGTATCATAGGACAAGTATATCTGTTGATCCATCATTTCCCTCTCAGGCCAGCCTCATGGAGCCTATTCTTCACATTTCATCCAGCAGGAAAGGACAGAAAAAAAAATGTGTATGCAATTCTCCCCAATCCAAGATTACTGTTTTCCAATGAAACACAATTTGAAAGGACATGATGTTTTGTAGGCTGGGAACAGATTGTTTCCAAGCATAAATGAACAATGAATTCTGACATTCTTCACAACTATTGTTAAGTAATGATGGATCTTCTCTTGTTTTCTCTTGCCTCCTCTGCCCATTCCTGTGCTGCCTCTAATATAGCACCTATCTTATGGACCTGACTTCCAGAGATAGTATGGAAGGCTCTGTCATTTCTCTTTCACTTTTTTAAAGTCCTAGAATGTCATGTTGTCTCAGTGCACATCTAAAGTCCTGAGTTCTGACTCACAAAAAGCTCATGCTGCGCTGCAGTAAATGTTGATGGATCCAGGTGGGTAGCTGTGCTGGTCTGAAGCAGCAGAACAAAGTTTGAGTCCAGTGGCACCTTTAAGTACAACAGAGTTTTATTCAAGGGATGTGCTTTCGTATGCACATGCACTTCCTCAGACACAGAGGAAGTGCGCATGCACATTAAAGCTCATACCTTGAATAAAACTTTGTTGGTCTTAAAGGTGCCACTGGACTCAAACTTTGTTCTATAATAAATGTTGTTAGTCTTTAAGGTGCCACTGGACTTCTGTTTTATTTTGTCTCAGTGAACCCTTTTACAGGCTATGAGCTATCGAAAATCAGCTCTGCAGGCATATGCAGGCAGCAGTTCATTCATGCATTCATTCATTCATTCATTCATTCATTCATTCATTCATTCTATTTATACCCCACCCTCCCTGCCGAGGCAGGCTCAGGGCAGCTAAAAGGAGCACCAGGAGGAAGGGGAAGGCAGTCAGCAGGCAAGCGATTACCCCCCTAGTGTTGCAGAAGGCAGCATAGTAACCAGATTCTGGGTAGTGGGAGACACAGAGGCAAGGCCTCAAAACGTGGAAAGTAAGCTGGGAGTCCTGACCCTCCCAGTGGGTGATTCCTACAAAGTTCAGGTGGTGGCAGTAGTTGAGCTGAGAGGGAGAAAAGCTCCTCCAGGTGTTGGGAAAACCCAGGAGGATGGGGTGGAACGGGGCCTGCAGGCCAGAGTAGGACTGTTCTGCCACAGATGCCATGACACAACAGGTTGGGGTTTAAATTTTAAACAGGGTGACACAGCTATCATAATAAGCTGTAATGTGACTAATAATTTCTGTCCTGTCTTTGAACCCCGAGGAAAGGAGGCTGCATCTTTCACACAGGTGTCGATCAGTCCTAATAGTCTGTGAATGCTGATGTCCAAACAATGTCCCTCCCCCTGAGTTTATCACATTACAGTCCCCTCTGGCCTCACAAACTCTGTGCAGTGAACAGAGGGGACTACAAGGGCATATCCTCCTAGACCTCAGCCATGTTAAGCACTCCCTGCATCCCAAGGTTTGAAGCACTTTGCTCCGTGCCGTGCTGGTCTGAAGGAGCAAGCTCTGTCCTGTCTATACTCCCCCCCCCATCTCTATGTACTCCAGCTGAACTGTTGTGACATCAATATCTATAACAATGACAACCATCCTATACCTTAGTCTGACCTACTGAATGTTGGAAAAGACAATGTCTGGTGTGCACAGAAAAGAAGAAGACCTGGAAGGGGGCAGCAAGAAGACAGTTTGGTAGGATAGTAAGGTCAGGACCTTTTTTATTGTCTCCTGTTTGTAATCCTTTAAACTAATCTGGAAAGGCAGGCTAAAAATATTTATTTCGAAATACATACATCCCAGTTCAGCACGCTGGCTCTCTCGTACCCCTCCCCTGCCCCCTACTGTGCCCAGGGTTTCTCATTATCTGAACCTTCGAAGATGCTCCCCAAGACATTCCAATAAATGAGATTTTATATGATTTAGGACATCAACTGTGTGAGGAAATTGGTAGAGGCTGTCATGGGTATCTAATTTAAAAGCGTCGCATGTGTATGTCTTCACAAACTTACTTTTCTGGTTTCAAATCCCTGTAAATTATACCAAGACCATGGAGATGATCTAAAGCCAAGGCCAGCTCAGCTAAGTAGAACTTAACATCTTCTTCTGTAAACATTACCTAAGGAAAACAAAAAAAAACAAAACAGAAAACTAAATTATTTAATGTAAGAATGTGGGCTTATTTGTTTTTCTTGATTTTTCTACTGGAAATGATGATACATTGGCTCAACAAACACAACACACTTGCAAATTATTATCTACATAGAAAGGAAGTTAACAGTTTATTTCCTCCAAAACCAAAGAACTGGAAGTGAGATCCAATTACATTTGTAGTGTTTCCAGCCCCAGGTTGCAAAATTCCTGGAGATTTTGGGAGTGGAGCCTGGGGCGGGCAATGTTTGGGGAGACGAGAGACTTCAGCTGGGTATAATGCCACAGAGTCCACCCTCCAAAGCAGCCATTTTCTCTTGGGGAACTGATCTGTGTAGTCTGGAGATCAATTGTAATTCCAGGAGATCTCAAGCCCCCAACTTGAGTTTAGCAATCAATACACCCACAAAGAAGACATACACAAAAAGTGGGGGAGGGAAGGCAGAAAAACTAATGCTTCGGGTCCTGATCATAAGGCCTCTCATCTGTATACCTGTAGACTTAAAGAGTTTAGGAGGTACTGGGTGGGGCTTTTGGGATGTTTTAAATATCACGTCTGCTGAAGTGTTCTGGAGAACTTAAAACCTTGCACAGTATTTTGTGTTACCTTGGCTTTTGGATTCTTCTGTGGACCGAGGCATCTACCTGCAATCTTTGGCTCCGGTCACACAATGGAAATTGACATGGCCAAAGTGCGGCTTTTTAGAGCCGCAACAAAAGAGACATGCGGCGGCGGGATCAGACAGATCCCGAGCCGCCGCACAGTTGCTCCCCGGCACGATCAGATGCCAGGGGGGAAGCCACGGAAGGGAGAGCGAGGTAGCCGGCTGCACATTTGTGCGCATGCGCAGTTCGGCCGGGAGCCTCAAATACTCCTGAAGACGGGCGCGCCGGCGATCCCACGGCCACGCTTGCTGCAGCATTTCGGGTTGGTGCGACTATTTCCTAGGGGTTTTTTAAATGTGTGTTTTTGGCCTGAAGGGACGGATCGGGGACGGGTGCCGCTTCCCAGATGTTGCAGTGTGATCGAGCCTGTTGCTGCGCCCCCGATTCGTCCCTCTTGCGGGCCAAAACCTCCCGTGTGACCGGGGCCGTAGTCTACCAAACACCAAAACAATCTTCTTCGGAGAACAACTAGCAGGAAAAATGTCAAAGTCATGACAAAAAAGGGACATATCTTTGTCAGCTTGCATTTCATAATAGCAAAGCTGTTATTTCTGTGCTTCAGTGATATAACATCCACTTGCCCAGTTTTATGTTTATCAAGGATTAATCTTCTGCACATTAACAAATGTGGATCTCTTTTGCTCTTCTCATGGCTAAATCTGTGAAAGAGGCAGCAACCAGCAGAGCTCTACTTTTTAAAGTACTTTGAGAAATCTTAAATTACTTTTAATCTGCCGCTTTCTCAGTGACTTTCCATACAGAAAGACAAAGATAATATTTGTGTGTTCAGTGGAGGGTGGTAGGATGACTGCACCTTAACACTTTTATGACCCAAGTTACATTGAAAGCCACAGGGAGAGAACTGAGAGGCAGTTCACCAGCGGTCAAGGAAATTACTCCCCAGGAGAGCCTTAAAAGCCCATCTGCTCTGAGGTAACAGCTACAGCCACTTGCTGTTGGCACAGCTGTTATGGGGAAAATTCAACAGTTGCTGCAATTTATCCAGCCAGCAGACTCTGAAATGCTGTGTGTGCAGGTGTGAGAAAGAACACTGTTTTGTTAGCAATGGATGACACCAATCTTACGTTCTTTATTCACCTTGTATTGGTGGGCTCAGGTCATCATGACAGCCTTAACTTTCCTACTCAAGGGTACAAGAGCAATTAATAGAGGCTTATTTACACGATAATCTCTGCTTGTGGCTGCCTCTTGAAACCTCTGCCCTACATATGCAGCCATATGGTTTGTGGATTAGCCTTTGCTACAGGCATTTAAACATGACTCCCCAATGTATGGATCACATGCATGAGGCAAAGGTTTTCAGCAGCAGCTGCCACAGGTAATATCTCGATCAGCCCTTGGAGGCCATAGAAAGAATGAGGCAGATCCAAGGAATAAATATCAGGGTTACAGAGTAACAGCACTGCCCTGATATTAGTCACTGCTTGAATGTGTATGGATGAAGAAAGGTAAGAGTTAAGGCTGGAACAAAGCGTAATCTAAAACCTATTAAAATGTTTTTTTTTTGGTAAACAAATTTTTATTTTTCTTAGGAATTCAACATATAGAAATAAACCATTTCATCCTTTCCATTGTCTACCCCATTCCCATTTCCTCCCCTCCCTCCAGTGGCTTCCCGCAATGCTTCCCCCCCTGCTCCACATTACTTTACATCATCAGTTATATCATTTTCTTATAATTACAATCTTAAGATAACATCATTTGGCTTAATATTGCTCTAAACATATTAAATTTTGCTTCACATCCCAGTTCTTTTCCAGATATATTTTAAAGTCACTCCATTCTTCAAAAAACACGTCATCTTCTTTGTTATTCAACTTTTTCGTAATTTTATCCATTTCTGCCATGAACAGAACTTTTTGTATCCAGTCTTCAATTTCTAGTACTTTCTCTGTTTTCCAAAATTGTGCATAAATCATTCTCGCAGTTGTAATTAAGTACCAGAATAAGGTCTTTTTAGTCGTATTGATTTCTTCCATTTTTAATCCCAAAAGCAGAATTTCTGGTGTCTTCTTGTATTTTTTGCATTTCCTTGTGGACTTTTGACCAATAGTCTACAGCTTTCTCACAAGTCCACCACATATGGTAAAATGAGCCTTCATGACTCTTACATTTCCAACATTTGTTTGACATATTCTGGTTCATATTTGCAATTTTTTTCGGAGTCATATACCACCTATACATCATTTTATAACAATTCTCTCTGACATTAGTACAAGGCGATATCTTAATAGAATTTTTCCACAAATATTCCCAGGTTTCAATCAAAACTTCCTTATTCATGTTTATTGCCCATTTTAACATTTGCTCTTTCACCATTTCTTAAAACCTATTAAAATGTTGATGTCAAGTATGGAACTAAAAGTTTAGTTTTGTGAAATCTGAACATCAACAAAATTACCTCTTGTTAGGTCCAGCACAGCAAAAATCATCTGAATTTTGTTTTTATGCCAAAGCAAAAACTTTTGCACCAAAAATCAATGATAAGGCTAAGCCTTGGTATCATCATCTCATGATTTTGGAAGTCAATAATTTCTATTTCAGTAGGGAGAAACCAAGCACAATTTATCACTCCAGCAGATGTCAAGGTATATTTCAGTTTAAAATGTATTCCAGTGCTAAAATAAAGATGTGGCTGTGATTGAAACATGGCCAGTGAGCTTCATTCTGCTACTCGTGAATATTTTTGCAGCAGGCTCTGCAGATAGTACTTTGGCCCCGGTCACACTGGGGGAAATAGGCATGGCCAAAGTGCGGCTTTTTTGAGCCGCACCAAAAGAGACGTGCAGCGGCAGGATCAGACAGATCCCCCCAGCCACCGCGCAGGTCCTCCCCAGCACGATCAGATGCCGGGAGGAAGCCACGGACTGGAGAGCGAGACCAGCCTGCTGCGCATGTGTGTGCATGCACATTTTGGCAGGACCTCGCATGCTGCAGGGAGAGATGGGCGCACCGGCGATCAGACGGCCATCCCTGCAGTGGATTTTCAGGTAGGTAGTAGTGTTTTTTAGGGGTTTTTTTAATGTGCAGTTTTGCCCCGTAGGGCTGCATCGGGGACGGGTGAGCGCCACTTCCCAGATGTTGCGGTGTGATCACGGCCACTTGATGCGCCCCCGATCCGTCCCTCTCATGTGGCAAATCCTCCCGTGTGACCAGGTCCTTTGATAACCATTCTTCACATCAGAGGCTGACTCAGTGATGGGTCTTTCCAGAAATCAGAACTCATCTACCACCCTTCCTTACGGAGGACCCAGTATTTGTAACTCCATGACTTTTTAACATGCAGCTGTTGGGGCTTCAATTTGACGGGGAAGGACAATAAGGAGAGGGCTATATTCCTGATTAAAATGTCCATCTCCTACAACTGTTTAGCCTTGTAAATCTGGGGGACACACTTCTCCAAACTGCATCCTTAGCAACTGCATTTTGAAAACTTCTCTTTTAAAAACAGAACAATCCCATGTTAACACTTCATTGAAATCAATACTTAAAATGAGAAAATCAACAAGACAAGATAATTGGTTGAATGATAATTTTAGTATCAATACTCTTTTAGCTTTGTGGGATGTCATTGTAAGTTATCACCATCTGTCTTACTGTTGCCACCAAAAGAGAGGAAATGTTTTGTCTTACGTGATGGTTGTGCACAAGAGCCATGAAGTTTTGGAATACAGTTAAAAGTACTGTTAATGATGTCCTTGCAATACAGCTCCCTCTAGATTTTTGTCTACTGAATTACAGAAAGCATGCAACTCCCGCAGAAGAACTGATTCGATACACAGTATCTGCAGCAAGGATTGTATATGCCAAATACTGGAAAGAGTTAAAAATTCCTACTGAACAAGAATTATTTTTAAGATCTGGGATTTGTTAACAATTGCAAAATTGACCATTCATTTAAAATTCAACGTGAAGCAGAAAAAAATTAATGAAAACATGGTCTCCAACATTTACCCATATCACTATTTGTAGTATAACAACATTAATATTGAACAGCTACATTTAAGATACAGTAATTGCCTGTGGATGCATGTCTTATTGTTTGGGGTGTTTAATATTAAGTGTTCTAATATGAGTCATGGAGCCTCATATAATGTGTACTTTATCTCTAAGGTTGATTTAGTTTAGAATAGGATTAAAGTTAGTGTTAAGAGAATGTACTTCTGATGCTGCAGGCAGTGTTTCAGGTAGTCATTGGCTCCTACACACCTAGCCTGACATTATTGCCCACATTCAGTGGCTTTGCTAATGTGTGCATGGATGGATGAGTCTGCTATGCAAGGAGGGTGGGATATAAATCCAACAAGTAAGTAAATAAACAAACAAATAAATAAAATGGTTTCAGATGCAAGAAGATGGTCTCTTTCCTGCCTGTTCATAGGGCTGATGGATTACAGCCCCTTAGGCTAACAGGAAGAAAATTCCCCTTTTCATCCAGGTTTCAGGCAATCCAATCAGAGGTAAATAAGTTTTATTATTATTATTATTATTATTATTATTATTATTATTAGCCATTTTGAAGGTATTATTATTATTATTATTATTATTATTAACCACCCAGAGGGGATTTTTTATTGCTTTTTTAATTAGACTACAAAGAACAAAGAAATAAGGGAAGGGAACTACAATTAAGGAGAAAGTAAAGGTAACCACTACTGACTAAAAACCCAAGAGAAGAAGATCATTAAAACATGCTAAAATATTTTTAACACTTAGATTTAACTGTTAGAGAGAAACCCCAGAGCATCCCATTATTAAAAACCATATTTTCAAAGGCACAATTCAGAGTCCTTCAGCCTTCATTTTTTCTTTTCTTGTCTTTTCCTCAGTTTATATGGACTTTTAGGGGCGGCTGCCCCTTTTTCAGAAAGAGAGTCCTCTCCAGAAGACCCCGAGTCCAGCTCGCCACTGGACTTACTGTCCTTCTCCTCTTTATCCACCTCCTCTGGCTCACCCAACTGGATTCTCAAAAAGTCCCGTGCTTTGGAAACTGAGTCAATCTTTTCTTTTTTATCCTGAAGTTTGAAGGTTACACCCTCTGGATATAACCACCGGTAGCTAATTGCATTTGTTTGAAGAAAAATAATTAAATCTTTATATTTCTTTTTCCTTTGTCTTATTTCAAATGGGATGTCTTTCAGAATCCTGATGGTACTGTCCCCAGTTTTCAAGGGTGTCCCGCCGTCACTCTCAGGATAGAATCCCCCATGTGCCTCTTCGAGAATCTGATTACTATTTCCCCAGGCAGATTATTCTTCTTTATGTATACGGAATAGGACCTATAGGCCACATCCATTTCGCTCAGGAGATACTCCGCCTTCAAATCTGTCACTAGGGCTAATGCATCACTCATCACTTGCTTCAGATTCTCTCCTTTGAATTCTGGGACACCTTGGAATCGAAGGACCAAGTTTGCCTTCTCCATTTGTAGCTGTAAAAGTTGTTCTGCTGAAGAAATGTGTTTCTTTTCCAACCTTTGCACCTTTTTCTTCACCTTTTGGGTAGTGGCATCAACTTCTTTCACTTTCTCAGCTGTTTGCTCCATGATTTTAAGAGTTTCATTCAGTTGAAGCTGCTGAGTAGTGATGCTTTGGTTCATCATTGACAACTGTTCCTTGAGATTAGTCATCTGGTCCAGCAGGGGGCGCAGGGATTCTGCCAACATTTTAGCCAGCTTGGTGCTTGCTTCCGGACGAGGGCTCCCATCTACTTTCACTTTTAAAAGTTTTTCTTTCTCAGTCCTCTTCCTCGCCATCTTTATGGATTGTTTACTTTCCAAAGATTTGCTAAAGTCTCTGAATATACGCTCATATGCTCATCCACGCCCTGGTAAATCTCTCTCAACAGATTTCAGCATTTTTGCTTCTGCTCCCCCCTCAGGTCTCGCATTTAAATTCATGCACATGGAGGGGGCCCCTCCCCCGCTCGCTTTCTTTCCTAGTCCTTGGGGTGGGAACTTTCCTTTTAAAATGTAGATTGCGCTCTAATCTGACTCAAAGTTCATAGTCGGTCTTGTGACCTCGCTGTAGTTCCATTTAAATCGCTCGATCTCCAGCACTTGTCCCAGTCAGCGTCACTAGTTCCATACGGACACACAGCAGGAGGACCGTCAGGACGGAGAAGCGCCTTGATTCCCCAGTATCACGCTGGCAAAGAGGCCACCTCTCAAAAGTCCCATGGCTAGGAGCCTTTCAACCAGGCTCCGAGGGGTAGCGAGATGTTGCCCCCCCCTCCTTTCTGCTGGTGCACAGATTTCATCCCCGGGAAGTCTGGGAGATGAGTCTGCTCAGCGTGTCACCATAAACCGGAAGTCGCGGAGTTCTCCATATGAAAAACTAATTTTCAAAGCAGCTAACATGTTGAAACAATTAAAAACCTCCATAAAATATAGTTCCAATTAAAAAAAACTACATACCAATAATTGTACAAAGCAAACTCCCCCCAATCCAAAACCAAACAATTACTAACAATTAACCAGCTCCTTCCCTGCCTTCCTGCCTTCCGAAATTCTTGCTTGCTGTATTACATTGATGACTTCCCAGATCATATATTTCATTTATCCATGAAAAATACACATATGAAGGAATTCTACTTTATTGTCTCCTCCTATTAATTATCTTATGTCACAAAGGAAGACCATTCTGTATCGTTCTGTCTTAGATGATTATATTGATATAGTCATGATGTTTTGTTGTACAAAGTAAATAGATAGACTTCTTTCTGTGTGGCATGAGCAATCATTAATTAGTGCCAGAGATCACCCAGTCTGTTTTGACAGCAAACCACCTGTAGAAAAAATGACCTGCAGTGTCAGAGGATGCTGAAACTGATTTTTCCAGCCTGATTATAGGGAATGTGTGCAAGGAGAGCTCAAAGAAAAGGAGGTTTTGGTACTCAGGGACCTGATGTTGCTTTTGGGACTAGTATTACTAGACTCTGTGCTTGCTTCCGTACTTTTGTAATGCTTATTCATCATGCCCACCATAAATCTTTCATGTCTCTTTACACAAACTGATTACTCAGAATAAGAAAGTGTAATAATATGGCCAGTGAGGGTCAGATACCATTATCAGTGCATCTCTAGTTAGTATTTTGTGTTGTCACTGTTCATATTGCTTTTATAAAAATAGGTTTATCACTGTGTTTCTTTTCTGTGTTACTTATCTTTAGCACATAAACAAGATTAGATTTTGATATGTTTGTAACCTCTGATATTAATTTTAAAGTATTTTTAAAAGCAGGGTTTAAAAATGTTTCAGATAAAAAATAAAATACCAGTGAATGCTTTCAGCAAGGGTGTAGACTTTCCAATTTCCCGGGGGGGGGCTGGGGCTGGGCCAGAGGCATTGCTGTGCTAGGAGCAAGGGTGACTCCCGGGGGAGGCTGAGCACTTTCCTGAAAATTTCGGCGGGGGCTGAAGCCCCGCCGCCCCCACGAAGATTACGCCTATGGCTTTCAGTATGGTTTATGGAAGCATGGACTGCCAGCTTTGCACATAATAAACTTAAGGGAAACCATAAGATAAGTGCTATTTATTTGATTTACATCCTGCTCAAGTCCCACAGGTTCAGAGAAAGGCTTATAGCAGTTTTTCAGATGCATTTATGTTCCTAAAGGGCTCACAATCTAGATTACATATTTTATTACATTGGTTTGTTTTTCACACACAGTTCATGAAACTAGTGGATTTACCTCTTTGGAAAGTCTGGTGAAAAGGTCTCCTCCTCGTAGGAAATCTAATATAAGATATAACTTTCCTTCTGTTTGAAATGCTGCAATAGAAAAAGATGGTAATGCTGCATTTTTAATAATGAGGATCACAACTAATTTTTTTCACCCACACTGTACCATTCTCTGAAAAGGTTATTCTTTTCTTGTTACCTGAAGATTAATATAACACTAGGAGCCAGTGCAGCAGACGACTGGACTAGGAATGGAGAGACAGAGGTTCAAATCCCTGCTCCATTCCCAACCATTCTGTTATAAACTCCCTAAATCTTTATTAGTGTTCAGTTGTTCTGCAAAGCCCCGAAGTTTAAGGTTGTGCCGGCATGAGGAATGTTTAGCTACACTCTCACTTTGCTGAAAACAAGAAGTTTAGTGCCATTAGGATAATTCTCCCAGCAGTTTCATGTAGGTGGTAAGCAGCATGCAGGATGTGGAGCTTCACAGCTTCAATGTTCCTGTTAAGCTCCACAATGTTGTGAGCAAAAATTCTACCTTGTGAGCGAAAAAAGCTAATAACATTAAAGTTATGAGCAAGTCTACATGTGACTATTGCCTAAATTAGTTTTTACAAGATTATTTCCATAAACTTTTAAACTGTATTTAAACTATATTTTAAGAATTTAAACATTATAAAAGAAAACAGAATCCAGGCCTCTGGAGAACATGTCTACCTGCCCCTTTCCAATTTATTGGTAGACCTGACCTCTGGAGAACAAGTTACCTGCCCCTTTCCACAATATTGGTAGACCTGGCCTCCCAAGAACAGGTTTACCCACCCAGTCCCACTATATTGGTAGATCTGGCCTCCAGAGAACAGGTCTGCCCACCCCAGTCTACTATATTGGTAGCCTTAGCCTTGGACTTCCACTCTGTGCTGAGCCTTAGAAAACATACCACCACTTGGGGGGAGGTGTTTGCAGTCTACTTTTGGGTTTTTTTTAGTGAAATATGACAAATTACAGGTCAAGTATAACAGAGGTGGAACAATCACTGTCAGAACCCTGCCTAACCTAACAAACAGAAAGATGCTTAAGAAGAAGAGATTGGATTTATACCCTGCCCTTCACTCAGAGTCTCAGAGCAACTTACTAACTCCTTTCCCTTCCCCTCCCCACAACAGACACCCAGTGAGGTAGGTGGGGCTGAGAGAGCTCTGACGGAAACTGCTCTTTTTCAAGAACACCTCTGACAGAACTATGGCTTGCCCAAGGTCATCCAGCAGCTGCAAGTGAAGGAGTGGGGAGTCAAACCCGGTTCTCTCAGATTAGAGTCCATGCACTTAACCACTACACCAAACTGGCTTAAATGTTATCAACTTGCCCAAACTACTTATTTCTTCAAATATTTACATCCCACTTCTCCCTGTGACTCAAGGCAGCTTACAAATCACATTGAACAGTATAATAGGGTATGCAAAAAAATAATAATCATTTTTTTCAAGCTCCATTATAGCCTATGGGGACCATTATAGTCATTGGGCCTATAGGCTATAAAGGAAAATCAATCCAGGGCTTGAGGGGCTGTTTTTTGAGGTAGATGCATCAAATTCGCAGCATGGCTTCTGGTGCCTCTCCTCCCCCTCCCCCCAAAGTTTCAAAAAGATTGGGCCAGGGGGACCAATACTATGAGCCCCAGAAGGAGGTGCCCCATCCTCCCTTGTTTCCAATGGAGGGGAAAATGCCTTCTCAGTTTACTTGTGAGCTGAAGCTAAAATCCCTGAGCTGCCACCTAAAATTTTGTGCACCAGCACCCCCTAGCACAGCTTAGAGGGAACTCTGCTCATACCAATAGTACCACAGGGTCAAGCAGCTTTTCCCCAGTACTACATTTGGTATCAGTCAGACAAAGAACAGAACAATGAAGTGCCCCCATCTTGGCTAGCCAGTCCTGAAGAACAGTGGTCCATGGTTCTGAGACAAATGTAACAATAATTAACACTGGAATAAATATGTTAAGCGAACCCACAGATAATGAATTTGAAGAGCAAGATAGTGTTCTGATAGATACAGCTTAATATGTCCATAGATTAATATGAATTAACTTTTAGAAATTAACAGAGAGGTTGTGTAACAACCGAAGTACAATCCTTCAAAGAAAACAATGTCAGACATCATCATTATGCCTTGTTTATTATGTTTGGGAGTCATAAGCATAAGGATGATATCTTTGACTCATGTATTCTTTGAAGCTTTGAAATTTTGTTGATATACAAACCCCTTTTGTAATGGTAGAAAGTTAAAGCTAAAACTAATAAAAATTAGAATGTCCATGAATTAACATAGCAGGGTCTTACCATAATGAAGTTTTACAATGAAAGGATGATTCACTTCTGCCAAGATATCTCTTTCCAGTTTTGATCGTACACGATCTCGAACTATAAAAGATATTTTGAGACATCAGAAAACTCTAAGCTTCAAGAGACCCATCTTGCATTGTTAGATTCACTGCTCTATTGTTGTATAGCCCTGCATAAGACATTTTTTTTAAAATGTTGGAAGACATTGGGGATACAGAAAAGAAAAAGGAAAGAAAAAAAGGGGTTATACAATATAATTGCATTTATCAAGGACAATCATGTAGTACAAAATATATATGACAGAAAATATTTTCCCTCACATAACCTTCATTATAATTTTTAGAGTATTATTTAGGTGTGTGCAAGAAAAAAAAATCGGGTCTATTCGGATGCAGGTGTTTGGGACCCAAAAACATTTCGTATTCCCAAATATCCCCCAAATACCAGAAGCAATATTGTACTAGGGGTGTGCATTTGGTATAGCCGACCCAACCCCCCCCCCCCAAAAAAACCTTTTTGGTATTTTTCAGGTTTTGGGGATATTGAATCAGCTTCCCTGAGCTGATTTGGCTGCCGAAAAATGAATGCCAAAAAATATTGGCTTTTTCCCAGCTTCTTTCGGGAATGCTGAATAAGGGCTCTAGTGACCTTGTTTTTCCCGCCATTTTTGCCTCTTTCCTGCCTTTTGCTCTGGTTTCCAGGAGGAAGGGGGAAGAGGGACCTTGCAGACAGCTAATCACTGGAATGCATTAGCAAATGCTATTGTAGCTTGCAACTTTTTGCAAGGTTGTTGTTGCTGCTGGCTTCATTTGTTGAAGCCCAACTACTAGCTTGCTCCTTTCACAGGGGATAAGCACTGGCCAGTAGGGTTTGGCATACTGCTCCCTGGCCAATCACAGAAGTTTGTTACTTTTTGAAATCTTTCTCTGTATGCCCAGAGAGCATAAAAGCAGGGGTCTCTGGCTGGCTGACTCCAGTCCTGCTCCTGCTGCTGAGAGAGAGCCTGGGTTGGAGACTGTGTGGCTGGTTTCTGCTTCAGCCACTGCTCTGAGCCTGCTTTCCTGTTGCTGCTGAGGACTACTTCGGATCTAGACAACAGAAGAACACTGAAGAGAAGAAGACATCACTGGTTTGAATTATATTAGGGCCACTTTTTAAAAACTTTTATTTTGTTGTGGGTTTGGGGCCTGGGGTTGGTGTGGTGGTGGTGGGGTAGTCCTCTAGGGCCTCTCAGGCCTCTTCCTGGGTTGTTGTTTTTTTAGGGGGGGAGGGTTCTTCTGGTTTGTGGTTTTGTTGCCAGCCTGTTGTTTTTGCAATTTAATTTTTTTTTTACTGTGCTTGATATTTTATTTTTTGGCTTGTTGGGGCTTTGGGGGATGGAGGGTTCACTGACTAGTTCTTGTGCCTGGGGCCTAGGCTCTCTGTTTTTGGTTCTTGTGCTTTGTGGTTCTGTTGCCTTTTTGCAGTTTCAATTTTTTAAGTTCCTTGTATTGTGTTTTCTGGGCTTCTTGGGTTTTTGGGGGGGAGGTTTTACTGACCCCCTGGTCCAATCTTTTCCAAACATGAGGGGTCATTTGGGGGAGTGGCTCCGGCAGCTACAGTGCAAATTTTGTGCCTCTACTCAAACCCCCTCCCCCATCCCCCTGAATACTTGTTAGAAGAGCTTTGCCATTGACTACAATGGCCCCATATGATATAATGGACCAATAATACCAGCATTAGTATTTGGGTATATTTGGGAATCCTGAAAAAATTCAGCTATATTATACCCAAATCCAAAAAAAACCCCAATTTTTTTTTTCCTGCACACCCCTGTATTGTACTGGTATTTGGCTCCATTATATCTTATGGGGCCTATCCCCATAGGGTATAATGGAGAATTTCACTTGCTGAATTGTGCAGAGCTGACTTGGCAGGTGAAGGGGTTCAAACTTTAACCCCCTTTCCCTTCTCTCTGGAGTCATGCCGCAGCTGTGGCCTGACTCTGGGAGGGGAGGGAGAGGGTTTAAACTTTAACCCCCTTCCCTTCTGTCTGGAGTCGCACTGCAGCTGCAGTCCAACTCTGAGAGGGGAGGGAGGGGGGTTAAAGTTTAATCACCCTTTCCTTCTCTCTGAAGTTGTGCCGCAGTTGTGGTCTGACTCCAGGAGGGGAGAGGTTAAAACCCTTCCCTTCAGATGCCTACGAAGAATACTGGCTTTTATTCAGGTGGGGCTACTTTGGTAACCAAAAATACAAATCTCTGTATTTTTCAGGTATTTATTCACCTTGCTATATACCGAATGCACACCCCTAGTATTATCTATAAAATACAATAGTTCTTACTTCTGTTGGGGTATGGTTTTATTCAGTATTTTAAGTTTAAGTTTCAAACTTCATAACTAATCTATTTTGACTACATCATTAATTTCATCATTACTACATATTCAATATTACATATTTTCACCACTTCTACACATTTATTAGAGCCTTCACCTGATAAGTAATATATCAAGATGCAAAGGAAGGTCTATTATATATCTCATATCAAGAACCCATTTGTATTCAAGATATTACATTTAAAACAGATTTTAATTCTACCTCTATTTCATTACCATACGTTTGTATATAATATTTTAGACAGCTTGTCACAAGTACTCTCTTTTATTCATGTGGTTAGGTACGGTGTGCCTTTAACTTTCTTGTTGTGTCTCTATTTCTGATTATGTAATTCCAAATCTTATGATTCAACTTTTTTCTTAGTATTATGTCCAGCTCTAAGGCTCCTTCATTGGACTATGTGGTCCTGAGGATGAGACTTTAGTATTTAAATAGCGTATGACTTTGGGTTAACAATAAACAAAATAAAACTTTATTTGTACAAGAAACATACTGGTTTCAAGATGTTTTGTAACCTACCTCTTCAGTAAATAAAGCAGTGTATGTAAATAACTTCTGACTGAGGTGTCACACTCACTTCACAAACACTCCTCACTCTCAAATCCTCCTTTCTCTTCAGAATGTACCTTGACCAATCTTTATTTTATTTTTTTTCAGTTTAATATTTCCCTTTTTAACTCAGGTTTCTGTCAGCTTATGACTCTCACACCCTTATAATACATTGACAATATTAGGAATTGACTCTCTCTAGCCCCTAATATGTCCTCTATAAGTATTCTACTTTCTTGTTTAGAATCTTAATGCTTTTCACAGCACTAATATGCGATTCTAATCAGAAGGCTGCTTTTTCAGACTCTGTAGACTGCTGAGAGACCACAGCTGACTATTAACTGCTGACAGCCCAATAACTTCTGCCTTCTCTCTGTCCACTTCACTTTCAGTCACCATGCAATCACCTCTTTCACCACCCCCCTTGTTCTTCTGCAACTTACCAAACATTTCAAGGAACACACACTTAAAACTTTAAATTATGACACTGCTTCTCATTCTAACTTTGTCTTCTGCTAGCATAGTACAAATAATACACACTCCGTCTCTCCTCAAATTTTGTAATAGACCTGTTTCTCAAATAGGTTGTTAATTTTGCAATTGCTGCATATTCAAACAAAACCATATACCATGAAAAAAGCCCTCCGTGTCTCTGCTGTCCTTGGTATTTTCAGAATACCCATGGAAACCTGATAAATCAAGCCCCCCCATGGGTTCACCTGTCAATTGAGTCTCCCCCATCGGGGAGAGGTAGAGAAATAAATTCCCTCCTTCCCTGGCATTGTTCGGCCCACACCGAGATAGGACTAGAGCCTTTAAAAGTGCTCCTTTTAATTAATTAATTAAATAAATAATTAATTGTATTTATACCCTGCCCTCCCTGCGAACGGGCTCAGGGCGGCTTACAGACAGCAGGTTGCCATGCTCCCCAGAAGTCCAACACATTTTATTTTTGACGTTACTTATTACAGCACAAAAACCAGGAATCAAAGGAACATGTGTGCAGTGCACACAGCTGGAGTTTTGTTTGCTGCTTTCATAGCAGCAACTCCCTCTGCTGAAGAGACAAGCCACTTTTAAAACTGAACAACAGGAACTTTTCCAGTAAAAACATCAAGCAGCTCTTCTGGCCCACACAGTTTTGTCCTGCAGGTACATGCCCCGTCTTTTTATGCCAGGCTATGGACTGCTTTGCTACATACTTATGCAATAGTTGATAAACAGGGAGTATATACAGTGAATTTTGCTAGATGCGCTTAGAGAAACAGTGGTAGTAAATGAAAAGTACTGAGACTTACTAGTGATTTCAGCTCTCATACTTTATTTCAGCTCAGAACAAGACAAGAACTACTGGCTTGCAGGCCGGTTTATAAAGGCAAACAACCCACAGCCAAAACACCCCCCCCACAAGTTATAGGTTATTTACAGTGGCTAAGAGTTCCATAGGCTCTCCAACACTCTGTTTCACACAGTGGCCAAAACCCAGGTTGCCATCTACAGGGTAAGTAATTAGGGTTGCCAGCTCTGGGTTGGGAAATACTTGGAGACTTGGGGTAGGGCTGCCAAGTCCCCCTGGGGGGGCAGATTTCCCCCCGCTTTGGAGGCCCGATTTCCACCGCCACGGAATTGGGCCCCGGGGGAAACCCCACCCCGGCGTGCATGTCAGCCGGAGGTGACGTGATGATGCCGGGCACGCTGGGGGCGGGGCCACAGCCATCTGAGGGGGAAACGGAAGACGCCGTCCGGGATCCCCCCGTCGCGGAAGAAAAAGGACTTGGCAACCCTAACTTGGGGGGGGCTGTGGAGGGCAGGGTTCGGGGAGGGACTTCAGTAGTGTATAATGCTATAGAGTCCACCCTTCAAAGCAGCCATTTTCTCCAGGGGAACTGATCTTGGTCATCTGGAGATCAATTGTAATAGTGGGAGATCTCCAGGTGCCACCTGGAGGTTGGCAACCCTATGGGTAATTCCTGGCAGTTTGGTGGTAGAGTCTGGGGAAGACAAGGTTTGGAGTGGGAAAGGACCTCAGTGGGGAGTGATCCCACTGAATCCATCTTCCAAAGCAGTCATTTTCTACAGAGGAACTGATCTCTTTAGTCTGGAAACCAGTTGTAATTCCAGACCTTACCTGGAGATAAGCAACCCTACACCA